ATGGACATGGCCGCTTTCTTTTCTGCTTCAAATATGTTGCTAGAACTGGCTCCCCATATCTTAACCAAAACAGAGCATTTAAACTCACTGAAATGTCCAACAAAGGCGCTATGATAGTTCTCTTCTCTGCCATTCCAAGCTCTATGGGCAAATTCACCAGTTATATTCCTAATCATTTCCCAGCTTAGCTCCATAGGCTTTCCCGCCATGACAGAATATTGTCCTGCAAATTTTCCTTTTGTAAGCGGCCTTGATTGATTAGTCCTTGAATGTTCATTACAGATTGAGTGTTGTTCCCCATTAGAGCTTGTGCTAGGTGGAAGATATAAAGGAGGGGGCTTAAACTGTGACAGGAAAAGGACATGCATAGGGATTTTCTTCTGATTTTGATCCTTTTGGGGGTTTAGGTTTTCTTTTACTTTCATGATAACTGAACATCCTGACCCATCATCTTCAATGTAGTGATTACAAACCATAGCATCATCATCATCTAAATCATCATCACTAGCCAAAGAAAGAAGACACTCTGTCCCACTTGGTTGGAAAGTCAAGTATTTAGCAAAACGCCTGCAACAAAAAGATATGAAGAAATCTATTCAAATTTATGTATTATTTTTTAATCTTTTCAAGGGTTTCTATATGCACATAAGAATCTGCATGAACCAAAACCTCATTTTATGATTACCGAACGGAATTAAGGAATTGAGGCAATAGTTAATTAACCTGTCTATGACAATCCAGGTAGCCTTAGCATTGTTTGCCTCCTCAACTATGATATCCTTTGGTCTAAAACCCACAGCAATCTTTACCTGAAACTTCACCTATAACAAAAGTACAGTAATCACAACCAAGGTTGGAATTTCACAAAGCAAAACACAAACTTTAGTTTGAACACTATAATTGCAATTAACAAAGGGAAAGTGTTGTCTCATGGTTTAACTGGTTGTTGATACAAGGGGTATGCCCATAACCTTAGAATCATCTGGAATGGATCAATCTCAAGATGTGTGCTATCTATCCCAAACGAAAGACATCTGACCGTCCAAGCCAAAAAAAATAAAAGAAACAAATGAAAAGGCTGCAGGACTTACTCCACTCCTTCTGCATTTATCATGAAATGGTCTGAAAATTCTCTTATAGATATCTTTTCTCTCAAGAATCTCTTGGTGGAGGATACCAATATCTTCATCTCCTCCTCCACCTGCACTAGAAGACGGCTTAAAAGCATCCCCATAGAGAAGGGTAAGCACTAAAATTTCATCCTCTGGATTGGTCACTTCTTGTAAGGCCCTCGATAGTGGTGCAATGCCTATCTTCCCCGTGCAGACTTCGATTCCCTGCAGAACAACAATTGCTCTCTGATTGCTTTCCTTCCTTTTCCTACAATTTATTGTTTAATTGGACTGGGAGCTCCTACTGTACTATAGTTTGCTACTTTGGTTAGGTGTAGCCGATCTACCAAGCATTTTTCTATTCAATAAGGGCTTATTTATACTAATTATTTCTGAAGCCTGTCGTAGGTGCCAACGCCCCTGACATTGGAATGGCCGTCCCATCACGTGGTTACCTAGAACCCGACCAGAAACGGAAAATCTTGAAAGTACCATGCATATATAGAACAAGTTTCTTAGGTGTTTACAAAGGCTTGGAACCACATCTTTCTATGATATCCATCACCATAAACAATGCAAGATGATAGAACTTCAAAATATATATACTCCCGCTCAAATTATAGCTTCCTTTTTACAAATTACCTTTAATAAGAAAGGATATTATGAGATGTCATTTGTTATGTAAGACATATATGTGTGGAAAAAGTGTTTTACAATTTAAAAATATCATATATTTTAATTAATAATTTTAAAAACCAATTATTAAAGTTAGATTTAAAGTTCTCTTCATATATATATACTAAAATTTTTGTTTGAAGCATATGAATATGTATGTTTCAAAGTCTTCGCTGGTCATCCAAACCTCCTATTTCTTAATTATGAGGAGAGAAAGCCGCGTTTACATAATCATATATCAGTTAATTAAGCCGGCAACCGTGGCTGCAAACTCAAGGATAGACAACATCAAATGTAAAAGAATTACAAAGAGAAATAGAAGAATCTTTGACATAATATTTACAGTGCTTATTTTAGGATATGGGAGAGAGAGGAAATCTATGGACAAGCTGGAGGGTTTAGTTTACCGCCAAAGGTTGCGTTCGCATTCAGACATGAAGAGGTCAAACTTGGAGGCAAACTGGCTTTGGTGGTGCCATTGAAGGTCAGATATATGTTCGCCACCTCAATGCCTTCGCAAGGCACCGCGGAGCTACATGCGAAATTAACGGCAACCTCAGACGTTGTGCTTCCCCTAATGTTCCTGAAATGTACCTCGCTAATCTTCACCTTTGATGGCTGCAAAGCGCAAATTAATACAAAAACTCAACCTAAAATGCCATGAATCCCCCGTACGTTTACAAGTACTTTAAAAAAAAATAGTATTTATCAGTTTTAACTTTAAAATTTAAATTAAGTAAATTAATAATAAATATTATTTTTCTAAAATTGTTAAATGAAGAAAAAACTTTCTAATATTGAAAGTTTTATAATTTTTATTTTATAATTTAAATTGTAAAAACTAAATTTTATATATATATATATGTTAATAATTACCTGGTCATGTTTATGGGAACCGTACTTCTGATCAATGATAACAGGGTTTTTCACCATGTACATAATAAGGTCTTCAAAAATGATGTTCGAAGCTTCAAGGGGTGGTGATGCAGGCCAGGTCTTAATTCTCGCACCATTGGTGGTGTTCAATAATGTGCAGTTCTTTACATAAATCCCACTTACATTTTTCTCGTCTTCATACTTTCCAAGGCTTCCAACACTATAACAAAAGAAGACTTAAAATTTCATAAACGAATTAATTCTACTAAAGAGACGCTGATGAACAACATTACGAGAGCCGGTTTGTTTTTATAATTTATATAGCTTGTAATTAATTGGACTCAACGCAAATCCTAATATTATAATTAACTATAATACTGACATGAAAAAAAATTGGAACTAATTGCTTAATTACCTAATGCCATGTCCTGGACCACAGACAATCTTGGAGACGGAAATGTTGGTGTTACCTTGTCCGATTGAGATACAGTCATCGCCGGTTGCAATGGTACTATTAGTAATATTGACCAGGGACGAACTGCTAATGTGAATGCCATCCGTGTTTGGACTGTTACTGGGGGCAGATATGTTAAGGTTGTAAGCTGTGATGTTGTTGCATCCCGTAATAAACACATGGAACGACATGCTATTCAGGGAGGTGAGCCCGTACACTGCAGAATTATTCACTTTGTTGAATTTAATCGACTGCACCAAGAAGAAAATTATATATTACTCACCAAAATTTAGTCAAGTTGGTACTAACTAATCATATATATTTATTCGCATACGTGTGGGAGAAGCTGGCATTTGGAGTTTTTTTTACAGTCATTGTACTGCCAATTGGCGAAACCCTGACCGTCGAGAGTTCCACCGCCGGTGACTGTTAACCCGTCAATGATCTCGAACATAATCCATTCTTCTGAAGTGTACTCACTGATATCCGTCAAAGCTTTTAAGGTTCCCTGAATTTGAACGGTTACAGGGTTTGAGCATGGTCCTTGAAATATGAGTTGTGCAACAAAAAATGTTCCCTTCGGAATAAGATACGTTGATGGAACAGTGGCATTGCATGCTGCCCGCCAAGCTCGTACAAAAGGCTGCACCAAAATAAAATTCATCAAATATAAGAACACACATTAGGAAAAGAAATCAATACCACGTATGCCAATGAGAGGCATTAATTACGAACATATTAAAGTTCTTCTGAAAAGTTTGAAATATCTCTTATGCTAACTATTAAAATATATATATATATATATATAAATTTATTCAGTTTTTGTTAATGTTACCTCAAAATTTTCGGCCTGGTCATCATTTGGCTTGGCACCAAACTTTGTAACATCAAAAACATTTGAGTTGGTATCATCGGCGAGGACACGGCGGGGACGAGCGCCAGTGCGATGGGGGCCAAAGACTTCACCATGAACCACGCAGGAAAGCAAAGCTAAGCCTAGGAAAAGAAGAGCTCTAGCGCGTCTCGCGGTGGCCATGGTGATGATCTATATATATAAGATTGAACCCTGCAGTTTTTGTTGTTCACGAAATAATGTGGCCGAATAGCGGCCTAGGAGCTGAGTAGTTTGTTGAAATTTAAAGATTCCCAACCTTAAGGCATTTATAGTTAATTCTACTGCATGCATTTTTGGAATTAGTTTCTTTCCCCGTATTTAGCACCATTTTCTAAGGAGAAGAGATGTTTGGGGCATTATAATCGGCGCACGACATTAATGTCCCATTTCTTTGACCCACGATTACCAATTCCCCCCGCTTTTCAAAATTTTCTTTTACTACCTTAGTAACCAATTCCCCGCTTAATATTTTTTTTTGCAAAATTTTTACTGTAAGTATCTAACATTTCCAATTTTATTAGTAGCATTTCCAATTTAAGATAAAATACTAAATTAGTACACACTTTAATTTAATACATTGTATAATATATTTATTAAAAAATTATTATTTTTTATATGAAATTATAAGTAGATAAATTTAAAAATATGACTATGCACATAAGATTTAAAAATTAGTTGAATTAACTATATTTATATTATATTTTAATAGTTAAATTGAAACATGTGTCAAAAAATATATTAAATTAAATATGTACCAATCCTTTTGCTTTAAAATAGATATGTGTTTGTTTAAATCAACTTTTGGAAACATTTTCTTTGCTGCAAATGTGGAAGCTGCTTAAATATTAATTTTTGAAAAAATGTTTTCAACTTTTCAACCATTTATCAACAACTTAAATATTTTTTTTTTTGAACATTTTTGTCATGGGGCCGGCTCGAACCGTTACCTTGAAGAAGGGGGATATGAACCTTTACAAACGTGGCTACCAAGTTCAACAACTTAAATAATTTATAGTAATTTTTGTATAAAAATAAAAAATTATAAATTTAAATAATATAACAAATAGGAGAGGTCACTAAAGGAATTAGAAATGAATGTTTCTTATTTTGTGACAGCAACTCAAGGTAAAAAATAAAAATAAAAAACTTTTCAACCATTCCAAACCCATAACCTTCGGAGGTCAATAATACTAGTCCAGGGCCCAAGCCCATATTGTTGGGGTGAAAGCACAGAGCAGACAGCTTGAAGTCTAGTCTTGAACTTGAACCCATGGAAAATTTACCCCAACATCTCAACCAAAAAGATCCAGAGATCATTAGCTTGGGTTAAATCCTTCTGATGATGGGGAAGCCTTATAAAAACGAGGGATATAAAAGAAAATGTCCTCAAACACTGCATGATTCCATATAATGTTCAACTCTTTTTTTATGGGCCTTTTTTTTTTTTTTTTGAGCATGGATAATATTGTGGGGATGGGGATTAATTACTTACAAAGAAGACGAGTAGGATTTGAACCGCCACACCCAAAGGCAACCCACCTCCAAGGGAGGGTGGTAGTGGCCCACATGTATCCATACTTTCTAACAAAAAAAACTGTTGGGAATTTTTGAGCACCACACTCCTTCACAAATGAAAGAAATAAAGAAATTGAAACAAAAGTTTAACGTGATTCAATTTGTATATTTCATAGTAAGTTTATGTTTACAAGAAAAAGAAAAATAAATTTACTGTTAAGAAAAGAATATAATATTAATGACCTCTTGGTTTGAGTGGAATGAATTTAATTCTTTTTAAGTAAAGTTTTGAGTTAAATTATTGTGAATGACAAAATAAGCACTAAGAGAACTTCTTTTTTATGAGGTCCAATGCGGTTTGATTCTAGATCAATCAAAGATCTAATGTAATTTATGTATACCAAAGGTTAGTATAAAAAAATACAATAATTTAAAAACTTTTTCATTTAATAAACTTTTAACACCTTAACTTTAATATATAAAAATTCTCAAATTTTTTTTAATATTCTCTCTTAATTTTCATAAAAATTATCTCATAACCTCCCTCTTTTTTCTTTTTTTTTTGATAGTAAAAAATTTTAAATTAGGTTGTTAGTATTTATTTTTTGAGAGAGTCAAACTCATGATCAATATACATTTCACCTACTATCTAATAAACAACATGACCACTATTAAATCACATGAAAAATTACCTCTCTCTTTTTTCTCTCACAAGAGCACTCACTCGATTAACTCTCCTCAACTTCTTTTACTGCTGTTTTATCCTTTGCATACATGGGCATTTATAAGGAAAATTCCCAACCATCCCTGCATAATTTCCACACCTCATTAAATGAGGTCATCATGCAATTTTAGATGCTTTTAACCAAAAGCAAATGCTAGTCCACAATTAGTTACGTCAGGGAAGAAATTCTGAAAAATCCATGTGTTCACATGGGGCTGGATCATTTTGTCAACAAGGATAAGATCACTCATTGGATTGTTGGGTTAGGTTGGGTCTGTGGTAATGGAAAAGAAAGTCACCAATTAACACAGAACATAAACTAGCTTACTAACAAATTCGATCCATACAAATAATATGAATATTCCCCATTGCCCAAAAACCAAAAGAAGAATATTCCCCACCCCCCTGTTTGTTTGACGAACCATCATTTTTGGTCTTGACTAACCATAAAAAGCAAGGCTGCTGTCCTGCTTGCATTCATTAATTTAATTAGCTTCTCATCAAAGCAATACGCTTTAGAGATATTTGTGTTTATCCAATACTACTTAGAGATCTAACAAAACAAAAATTTAATTGGAATATTTCGCTCTAGTGGTATAAACTTAGGTTAAGATAGTTTACTTTATGTGAATGGTGTGTTCAATCTACAGAAGTTTTTATTTTTTTCTTAATTAATATATGTAAATAATTTTAAATTATTAAAAAAACAAAATTTTGATTAAATTAATATTTATTAATATTATTTTAAATAGTTTACAATTTGAGGGATAAAGAAAAAAAGATATTTTAAGGTGTTGATAAAATTTAAAATCACGATCAACTAATCAAAATGGTTAAAAAGTGAAGATAAACCATTTAAATTCAAAAGTTTAATTATAATATTTATTATATATTTTTTTTAATCAAATTTACAAGGGTGAGAATCGAACCCATCATGAAAGAAGAGGGAAATGCATTGCAAGGAAATGCATTGCAAGAAAGCTTTAAGTTCGCTTAACCCGAAGGGTCAAATGCATAATATTTATTAATTTAAATTTTATATTTTTATATTATTAAATAATTAACTCTTTAATTTATTTTTTTTTTTAAACCCTTCTCAGGGCAAGTAAGCTCAGTGATGGTGACTTGGACAATACTATCGAGTCTTGAGCGGTCTGCCTCACAAGGTTACTGCCTTTGGTGTACGGGCGAAATATTTCCCCAATTGATCTTGACCAAGAATTACCGTAACTTCTTTATCCTTATTAACATGTTACCTGGCTCGAGTATGGTCAAACAGCAAATTATTAAGGCGACATGGATTGTACTTTTTTTTGTTTACTTAAACTATATTTTTATCCACCCAACTCTATATAAATTTCATGCGCCACTTTTAAGAGGAGTGAATAAAAATTTAATTTATGTATAACCATAATTTTGGAGGGTTGTTAAGCGGATATGCTTAGTTTAATAAAGTTTCTTTTAAATCTATTGGGAGGTATCACCGTGTTCTAGGGGTTGAATCTTTAGTTTATATATAGATCTTAAATTAAAATTTAGAGAAGGGTGTGGAGAAATTTAAGAATAAAAATATTATTTTATATTTTTTTAATTTTAAAATAATTATTATTTTT